GAGTGTGTGTGTGAGTGTGAGTGTGAGTGAGTGTGTGTGTGTGTGTGTGTGTGTGTGTGTGTCTATGTTTTATTTATTGGCAGATCTTAGTTAGACAGTTTATTATTGTTTTGACCTTGCTTTCTGTATCTGTAGTGCAGAACAATAGTTTTCATAATCTATATTTTTGTCATGTTTTTTAGTTAAAATATCTAAGCATACAAAAAGATAAATGCACTTAAGAAGCAAAACTGCAATATTTAATATTTTAAGTTAAGTTTTTTTAATCCATTGGTGGATTTTTTATTTTTATTTCATTGTATTTTGAGCATAAACCTCCGATTTTGACGTTTAGATATTTTACTGGACAATGTTGCACTGTGCTGTGCTGTTTTTATCTATTCGCTGGCTTTACTCAGATGCTTTGAGCTGTTTAATGTTCTGTCTCACAGAGCTTGTGTTGTTTTTCTCTCTCTCTCTCAGCGTCTCTGATGAACAGCCCTCCTCAGAGGCCGTGAAAAGGGCAGCAGCGTCGCTCCAGAGCGCCAGACAGTGTTTGTCCAGCAAGGAAAAAGCTCATCGCAACCACAAGGCAAACCTCTGGCCCTCAGATCGACCCGCGCCAGAGGACAACCAGCTGAACGAGATCAAGAGAGAACCAGAATGCAAACCAAATGAGCTTAAATACAGAGAAACAGCAGATGGACAAAACCTAGAGCAGACGGGATCTGAGACCAGGACTGCATGCTGGAGACGAGACGCACAGGAAGTGACATCAGAGGATGACAACAAAGGTAGGACCGCCTCCTGTCATCAACTGATCAATCATTCATTAAAAAAATCTTCCATTCGATTCTAAACCACTTTCCTTTTCTGGAAAGGCTGTGCGGGTTATTTCATTATTGTCAGCCAATAATAACTGTTTAGTCATTGTTTTAGGTTACTTTTGTAGGTGATGCAGCCTTTCTAATATCTTGTTCACATAGTAAATTAATAATGGTTTATAAAGGAATAGTTCACCTAAAAATGAAAATGAACTGAAAAAGTGCTCACCATCAGGTCATCCGAGATGTAGATGAGTTTGTTTCTTCATCAGGTTTGTAGAAATGTAGCACTGCATCAGTGTCTCAGCAATGGATGCTCTGCAGTGAATGGGTGCCGTCAGAATGAGAGTCCAAACAGCTGATAAAAACATCACAATAATCCACAAGTAATCCACAGCACTCCAGTCCATCAGTTAACATCTGGAGAAGACAAAAGCTGAAACAAATCCATTTCCATCTGCACATTAGCACATTTAATTTTTGGCTGAACTATTCCTTTAATGTATTGAAGAGTATGGCAACAACAGGAAATTAAACATTTAAAATATTTAGTTTTCCTCAGATGGACGTTCAGTGCTGTTTTATGTTGACTTCAGTATCTCTGTTCTGTTGTTATAGTCTGATTAGTGTTTAGGAGTCAATGAAGTTTTATAACTTTGATTGACAGTTGAAAGCAAATGTAAAAGAGCGAGTGTTTTTCAGCGCTGCCAGACTCACTGAGAGCTCTTGGTGCTTGTTAGTGGAAGTGAGTTGCCAGGAAACTAAAGCAGAGGATGGGAGTTTTCATCCCGTCTGTCGCCCAGCGCTCTCCTTTCTGCTCGTTTCAAACACTCGCAGTGATGTTTTCCTTCGTCTTTTATGGTCTTTGTGCTCCTGCTCATCACACACACACACACACACACACACACACAAGTGCAAATAAACACACACACACTCACACACACACACAAGTGCAAATAAACACACACACACACTCACAGCAAGCTGCAGGTGTAAATCACACACAAACACGTCCCAGTCCAAAACTAGAAGGAACAAATAAGGAAATAGAAAAGAAAAGTCTGTCAATACAAAATATGATGTCTTGTTTGAAAGTTAGCATAGACAGATATTCAGATGGACGGATGGATAAATTAATGGTTGGATAGATATTTAGATGGATAGATAGATAGATAGATAGATAGATAGACAGACAGACAGACAGATGACAGATAGACAGATGACAGATAGATAGATAGATAGATAGATAGATAGATAGATAGATAGATAGATGC